GCTGTGGCCTCTCCCGTTGCGGAGCACAGGCTCCGGATGCGCAGGCTCAGCGGCCATGGCTCACGGGCCCAGCCGCTCCGCGGCATGTGGGATCTTCCCAGACTGGGGCACGAACCCATGTCCCCTGCATCGGCAGGCGGACTCTCAACCACTGCGCCACCAGGGAAGCCCCTAGAAGATTGATTTTTAACAGAAAAACCGTAGATGAAATTTTATAGTAGAATGTCTTATAGCCATAAATCATCATTGAAAAGTCCCATTTCCACAGAATAAATAAAAACGTTTCCACATAACTGAAGCATGTGTAGGAAATAAATATTGCCTCAGGGATCAAGATTTTCATCACGTATATTTTTTAAAAATACTGGCTTTGTGTTGGATACTTTGAACAGCTAAATAATTTAAATCTCCTACATAGTAGCTACAAATAGCTTTTGTTGGTTATCTGAAGGAATAATATGCTGAAATATGAATGAGAGAAGTCATTAATCACACAAAGTGTCAGTGCACTAGAATTTGGGAGAGCTGTTTCTCCATATGTGGATGTTGGGCGGGAAGACTAGGGCAGGTTCTCCTCTAGCGAGTGGTGAAGAGTTAGGTTTGGTGATAGACTTCGGTTTGAATCCTGGCTCTGCCATTTCTGAGCTAGGTCTGGTGCCCCATTGGTAGAAAGGGGTTAATGAAAGCCCCTATTTCACATGTTTACTGTGAGGATGAAACAAGAGAAAGCATGTGAAGTGTTAAGAGCAGTATCTGAAACTGAAGGAGTACCAAGTAAATGTTGGTTGTCATGGTTAGAGTGTTCGTAGAGGGGTAGGTTTTGGGGAGGTTTTCTCAGATGTTCTCTCAAGCAGCAAAAAGGGTTTTAGAGTCAGATAGATCTGGACCAGAATCCACATTCTTCCGTATATTATCTTTGTGAACTTTGACAGTTTATTTAAAACTTGCATCTATGAAATGGAACAACAACGGTAAGTACCTTGTTTCCTTCTCTAGAACGTAAGTACCTTGAAGGGAAAGGCTACATCTTATCATTTTTCATATCATTCTTGACATACTTCTGTACTTAAGTTCTCAATAAACAGTATTTGTTCACTAACTGATAGAGTGTACTCAGAGCCTCAAAGGACAGGAACACGGGCTCTGCATTCTGAGGAGCCTTGCATGGCACATTTTGGGACACATAGTAGATACTTAATAAGTAGGTCTTTTGAGAGCACATGGGCTGCCTAAACTTTTTTTGTTTGTTTGTTTTTTTGCGGTATGCGGGCCTCTCACTGTTGTGACCTCTCCCGTTGCGGAGCACAGGCTCCGGACGCGCAGGCTCAGCGGCCATGGCTCACGGGCCTAGCTGCTCCGCGGCATGCAGGATCTTCCCAGACCAGGGCACGAACCCGTGTCCCCTGCATCGGCAGGAGGACTCTCAACCACTGTGCCACCAGGGAAGCCCCTGCCTAAACTTTATCTGAGATCTGTCATTCGCTATTTAATTCTGAAAGGGAGAGAATGACTGCTGTATTTATAAAAAGCTTGCTAAGTCATAGTATACTGGTAAGGTAGCTAATGTTCCTGATTTGCTAATTTGCTTTTTAATGAGTAAACCAAAGTTCAGAAAATGTAAGTAACTTGCCCAAATGTACTCAACTAGTAAGTAGTGGAGGAGACATCAGAACTCAAACCTATCTGACTTCAAAGTCCATCCTTTCCTACCATTCTTCATTGCATCTAAATTAAGGAAAGATAAAAGAATGGCAAAAACACAACCCCGTTTAAAGGGTATTAGAGGAAACTGAAATAGGCTCAAGTCAGTGTCTATATCTACTACTACCTACCCACGCGTTCATCCCCCTTCATAGTAAACTAGGCTGCAGAGTGTAAAGGAGTAAGTATCAGAAGCCCTGGGTTCTAGCCCTATTTTGCTTCTCATAAGCTAGGTAACCTGAAGCAAAACACTCACGTAAAATGCCCTGAAGTTTGTCCACAAAGTTGCAAGAATTATACCAGTCCTAACAGCCCTCCAAGATTATTCTAAGACAAGTGAGATGACATATATGAACATCTTTGGTAAACTGCGGAGATGGATTCAAGTGTAAGGCACTGATTCAAATAATGTAACTGTTCGTTTTGAGAGTAATTAAATAGACCAATTAGCCGTAAAGTTTTAAAACCATAATAAACAAAACCAAATCACAAAGAAGAAGTCAAGTCACTTTTACTCCTGTTATTGAAAGCAGCTTTTTTGTCATCCACAGAGGTTGCTTGGGAAACCACTGCAAGTGGATTACAAATATGTTGACTGCCAGCTCTGCTCACAGCCACCACACACACACACACACACACACACACACACACACACACACTTCACATTGTTTCCCCAACACAGACTCGCTTCACAAAATGTTTGTAAGAGTGATCCCAAAGGGGTTTTGGAGTGAGAATCAAAAGGTTGAAGAGAAAAAGGAACAAGAACAAACAGGGCCATACAGTTATGTCAAGTTCATCCTGTTTCCTGTAATCAAAAGGGAAGGTTTGTTTAACTGCACAAACAGTGGCCATGAGGAAACACCATTCCTAAAAGACAAACAGTAAAACTTCATTCTGCCTCCACAGAACAAAAGGTCCTCCACTGAAGTATTTGTTGTTTGGAAGCCACCATGGAGAAGAAGATTCTTCAGCATGCCCAGATCACTCACCATTTGAAAAGAGCTTTGATTCTCAAAAAACTCTGTGAAGTAGGCAAGGCAAATAAATATTCTTTGTTTACTCAACCCTGTCGCTCAACTAATATTATTGAGCAACCACTATGTTCCAAGTACTGTCTAGACCAGTGAAGGTGGAAATGTTCTGTACCATGTTGTCTGATGCTATAGTCACCGGCCACATAGGACTGTTGAGCACTTTAAATGCGCCCAGCATTTTTACCCACCCTCCCTAAGCTGGGCCCCAACAAGAGTCCAGCCCCGTGTTGTTTGAGCCAGAAGAACGAAACCAAGTTTTGTTCAGAAGCAAAGGAAAGTTTTCTTCTTTGATCAAAGAATGGACAGATGAGAGTTGCGCTCTAGAGCGCAGGCTCTCCCCGACAGGCCGTGGGCGGGGCTGCTTTATAGGGGTCTCTCTCATGGGTCTGGCACTGCCACGCAGCTCCCGGCACTCGCTGCAGACCTCTGGTGCCGGGGTGCAGCGTCTCTGCACACGGCCCGCCGCCACCAGCTTGGGTGGAGGTGTCCTGCATGGAGTCTCGACACAGACCCCTGAGCGGAGGTGCTGGCTCAGCTGTTTAGCACTAGGAACTCTGGTCTGAGGAGCTGGGGGCTAGGCCTCGGCACATGGCACCCTATAAGCAAATGAAACTGGACGAAGCACAAAGGAAAAGGAAAAAAAAAAAAGAGGTTAGACTTTATCTTATTACCCAAATTCTATTTTTTTAATTAATTAATTTATTTATTTTTGGCAGTGTTGTGTCTTCATTGCTGCGCGTGGGCTTTCTCTAGTTGCTGCGAGCGGGAGCTACTCTTCGTTGTGGTGCACGGTCTTCTCATTGCAGTGGCTTCTCTTGTTGCAGAGCACGGGCTCTAGGCGTACGGGCTTCAGTAGTTGTGGCTTGTGGGCTCTAGAGTGCAGGCTCAGTAGTTGTGGCTCATGCACGTAATTGCTCCACAGCATGTGGGATCCTCTCGGACCAGGGTGTGAACCTGTGTCCCCTGCATTAGCAGTCAGATTCTCAACCACTGCGCCACCAGGGAAGCCCTATTATCTTTTTGATTAATTTTATTTTTCATGGAGATATGACATATATGCTAAACATATAAAGTGCATTATATTAATTATACAATTTGAAGATTTTTTTACACATGTAAAATATCATGTAACCACCACCAAGATAAAGACATGGTAACTCCTATCATTACAGATTAGTTTTGCCTATTCTTGAATTTCATGTAAAGTAAATCATGCAGTTAGTATTCTTTTGTGTCTGGTTTCTTTCAATAACATATCTGTGACATTCATCCACATATGTAATTGTATTAGTAGTTCAAATTCTTTGTCAGTTTCCTATTGATAAACATTTAGATTAGTTCCAGTTTGAACCTGTTAGTAATAAAGCTATTGTGAACATTCTTGCACATGTCTTTTGGTGGGCATATATACTCATCTTGGGATTACTGAGCAATAGAATGTCTTTAGCTTTAATAGATATTTCCAAGCAGTCTTCCAAAGTGCTATATTAATCTATACTCCCATGAGCAATGTATGAGAGTTCCAGTTGCACAATACCCTTCCTAACAGTGGTTGTTGTCAGTCTTTTTAATTTTAGGCATTCTCTTGGGGGGTTGATTATATCTCCTTGTGGCTTTAATTTGCATTTCCCAGATAAATAATAATATTAAGCACCCTTTCATATGCATACTGGTCATTTGAATATCCGCTTTTGTGAAGCATCTACTTCTAATAAAATTTGAAATGCACATACACCTTAACCTAGCACTTCCACTTCTAGGAATTATTCTACAAAAATACTCAACCTGTTTCTGCAAGAAATATGTATATTGGAGCATTGCTTATAATACCAAAACACTGAAAACGACCTACGTGTTTTGTATAGGGAAATATGAGAAATTAGGCAGCTATCTGTATAATGAAGCAAATCCATGAAAATCAGAGTTTGAACACTTTTCTTGCTCTAGGGGATATATAGAGTACAGCCAGAGATTTTGCGCACTTTTTGAGGTCTACACTTCCTATATATATGACAATCTTCAAAAAAGGATAATACTTTTCCTATCAATCTCACTGATATTTTAACACTCTGGCCACACCAGACCCTCCAGCATCATCAGCCATCATTTTCCCTTGCTCTCTCTGATCCAGCTACAGTGGACTACTCTCAGTTTGTCAAATATATATGCTCTCTTCTACCTACGGGTCTGTCCACATACTTTTTTTGTGTGTGTGTGGTACGCGGGCCTCTCACTGTTGTGGCCTCTCGCGTTGCAGAGCACAGGCTCCAGACACGCAGGTCCAGTGGCCATAGCTCACGGGCCCAGCCGCTCCGCGGCATGTGGGATCCTCCCAGACCGGGGCACGAACCCGTGTCCTCTGCATCGGCAGGCGGGCTCTCAATCACTGCGCCACCAGGAAAGCCCCACATACTTTTTCATTTACCTGTAAAGCTCATCTCCATCCCCTACACCTTGTCCTCATCTCCACCCAGTTAACACCTATCCATCCCTCAATTTTAGCTAAAGTATCAGTTCCTCAGGAAGGACACTCTGATTCCTAGACTAAGTTAGATATCCTAGTGCATGATCCCACAGCTGATTTAACTGAAATATCTAACATATGTATTATTAGTTAATTAATCTATATCTTTCCTACCAAAATAAAAGCTCCAAACATGCTTACCTTATTCATCATTATATCCCCAGCCCCCAGCAAAATACCTATTCCAAATCAAGTACTCAGAAAATATTTATTGAAACTGATTGCAGAATTCCAAATAGGTGAAACATTACCACATTATCATTAGTTAGCTCCATCATATTATTGAAGAAAAAAGACCCCAGACTTAAAGAAATTAATCCCCTTAATTACTTTCATAGCTAGGAATTAGCATAGCTGAGAGAGAATATCATCAATTTTCCAGAATTCAAAGATTATGAACCTCCTGCCATGAGTGAAAATCATCAACAATGTCCAGTGATAACAACTGATATGAATCTATACAGAAATCAAATGACTAATAATTCATCATTCTGATTATCACTTACATAGTAGCAAGAATGCTCCTCCACTATCGATGAGGTACACAATTACAAGGTGGTTCTTGATTGCATATCATGTGCTCACAGTTGTTTCTTCACCATAACTGGGTATAGTGACACATCTTTCACTGTTGCATCATTTGCTACTAACATACACCAGACTCCATATATCTTTCCAGTTCCTGTAGGATAATGTATAATTAATTGGATCTTAAAACAAGAAAAATGTTGGTGTTCATCCACAAATGCTGTTATCTATTCTCTCCCTCTATGTTCACCTTTTCTCCCTCAAAATAATATAAAGTTGGCTCAGCCATTAACACCTGTTGCAGAAAAGCGTCTGGGCTAACAGTGATTTTTTCAGGCAGCCTGAATAAGTTCCTTCTAGTCCACTCTCTGGTTTTAAGTTAAGCATACTTTTACACTATACTCTTAAAAAACAGAGAGACTATTTGTTGGGTGTGTGGTAGATGTGTGGTAAAAATTGGCAAGAAATTCTCTCCATCCCATTATCCACACCCTTTTGCAAAGCAACTGTGCAGTTTTTCCCATTGAGATGGAGTACTTCTCCACCCTCTAAATCTGGGCTTGGTCATGTTCCTTCCTGTGACCAATGGGATTTTAGTAAACACGATGCAACTAGAGTCCTGAAAGGTGCTTGGGTTTTGGGGCTTGCTCTCTCTTGCTACCTTTAGGAACCCTATCACCACCACCATGTGAACAAGCCTGGCAATATTCATTACCCCTGATGACAGTTAACTGCCAAACAAGTAAGTGAGGCTATATACGATTGCTAGGTGACAACACACGTGTGAGTGAGGCCACTCAGACCAAATTGCTAACATACAGAAGAGTAAGCAAATAATTATTGTTTTAAGCCACCAAGTTTGGGACTGTTTGCGACACAGCACAAGCTGATATAGGATTATCAGAAAGAAATAAACAGACTCAGCTGCATATAATCCTATATTACCAGTCCTGGCCCTGGGGTGGAGTTGTCCATGGGTCTGACTGTATTATTCCCCTCAGAGTGATGTAGTGTTCACAGAACCTGAAAGCACAATGGCTTTCTTGTTTGCGGGCATCTTTCCAAGCCCAGCAGGAGCAAGAGAAGTGGGGTTAGTTCACAAACATAACACCAAAGGCAAAGACATTTCTTTGGTGATACCAGTCTCTCCAACAATAGTATATTAGAAAGGGGGGAGAAGGATTATTTTTCATTAACTAATGAAGAGTAACAGAATATGCCACTTTGGCTTTGATTATTTTGAGCTGTAGGTACTTGAAAAACAGCAAATGCAGGGAGAATCTTTCTTTGAACTCCTCTTATCTTCCTAAAGACAGATCCTCCTAAAGGAAATCCCCTGTTCTAATGGCCCTCCCAGGAACTTTCATCAACCAGGGAAATGGACTCTGATCACAGGAGAGGAGACCAGAAGTCAACACCACACCAAGACAAACTTTGTCACAATCTATCATACCTCCTAGCTATTCTTCTGAAGGTCCATTCATCTTTCCTCAAAATCATTTACTCTCCCCTAACAGGCCTATATCTCCCTGACCCTTTCCCTATTAAGATGGTAGTTAAATCTGAATTCTAAGCCTCCTCAGGGAGTTACTCATTTTTCCTGGGTGTTTCCCATGGGTACATGAAGTACACATGCTAATAAACTTCTGTTTGTTTTTCTCTTGTTAATTTGTGTTTTATTACAGGAGTCTCAGCCAAGGATTCAGAAAGGTAGAGAGAAAGTTATTTTTCCTCCCCTACTCTGATTAAAGGAACAAAATCTGGCAACACTCAATTGAAATATACTTCTGATTGGCTTGTATTAACTAGAAGGATAAAGCTAACTCTAAATCGAAATTATTTCAAGGCAAAATATATTTTGTTACATGAATCCTTACTATGTCAGTATATTTTTGCTTCCGTTTTAAGGAGGAAAAATCCACACTAATATTAAGAAGGAAATGTTATTATACATGTTCTAAATTTTTCTTCCCTATCCCCAGTACTTTTTCTGAGAATGGTTCCCTCTAGCATCTCCTCTCCCCCATAGCACTCTGCTTCTCATGGTCTTTACTCTTATTGTAACACTTCATTGCCCTCCCCCACCCATACAATATACTTTGGTGGATGGGGATAAGAACTGATCCATTCCTGATATCATATCCCTCAGCACTTAGCACAATGCCATGACAGGCATGCAATACATATCTATTGAACAGAAATGAATCTGAGAATAACAAAAGAGCAAAGGCCTGGACAAGTAGCCAGTGTTCAAAAATACTGGTTTGTAGATTGCTATTGCTTGGAGTTATCGGTCATTTCACAATGAACTCAACTGTCACATGGTCAACCAGCTTCAGGTTTTTTTTTTCTTAATTTTTATTATAGTTGATTTATACTGTTGTCTTAGTTTCTGCTGTATAGCAAAGTGAATCAGTTATACATATACAAATATCCACTCTTTTTTAGATTCTTTTCCCATATAGGTCATTACAGAGTATTGAGTAGAGTTCCCTGTGCTATACAGTAGGTCCTTATTAGTTACCTATTTTATATATAGTACTGTATATATGTCAATCCCAATGTCCCAATTTATCCACTCCCTTCAGTTATTTTTAAGATGTAGTTTTTAATCCTCCTTCCCTTGCCTCTTGGTTCAAGAATGGGTATGTGACCCAAACCTAAGACAACCAGTACAGAGTATTCCCATGGCCATCGCAATAGGACATAAGATGACCTTATCAGAGCAAAGCTCAGGACCCTTGTGGAAAAGACTCCCTCTCTGTCCCTGGTGTGAACAAAGAGGCATGTAGCCCTTATTGCTGAGGGCAGCCATCAGGCAACCATGAAGGAAGACAGTCTGAGGATAAAGAAGATGAGGGCCAAGATAATTGAAAAGAAATATATCCAGGTCCTTGATCAAACTGTGTTTGATGTCTACATTACTAGTGGAATTTTTAGTTTTGTTAGTTAACATATTTCCTTTATCATTAAAGCCACTTTGGGTTATATTATTCATTAGTTGCAACCAAAATGATCCTAAATAATACAAACTCTAAGAGGATTGCCTCAAGATCAAAATATCTGGCTATGGCCTTTCTTCTATTTCAAAGACTATCTCAAGCTTCAACTCCACCATGAAGGGTTCTCAGACAACTCCAGGAGAGAGTATCACCTCCATCCAAAGACTCCAGAGTATCTCTTGTTTATGTCCTTTGTCTGTTGTGCACTGTTTTGTAATCTCTACTATATATTTATATTGTAAGATGTTTCTCTCATTATTTTAATATATAGCATTCTCAAAAACATTGTAATTTCATTGAGCTCGTGACCATCTTTGTATCTTGGACAACATTTTGTAGTCAGTAGACTGCTGATTAAATTCAATCAGAGGTTAAACAATTCTTTCAATTTCCTATATCAGTAGGAAAGACATACCTATGGTGTTGAAGGAAAATGTCAAAGCCAACCTATTGAGAATGTGTATCTGACAACAGCACCTGAAAGCACTTTAAATGCTTGTACTGAGGACTTTACCCAATGCCACATATGACATGAAACACTTTTCCATGTTATAAAACATAACAGAGTACTAAAGGTTTACTGAGTACTAAATTTTACAGAACACTGTGTATTACTGTACCAGGCAGTTCCACCTTGCCTCAGAGACTTTTCCCTTGTCTATTCTTTTTTAAAAATTTTATTTATTTGTTTATTTATGGCTGTGTTGGGTCTTCATTGCTGCGCGTGGGCTTTCTCTAGTTGCAGCAAGCGGGGGCTACTCTTTGTTGCGGTGCACGGGCTTCTCATTGGGGTGGCTTCTCTTGTTGCGGAGCACAGGCTCTAGGCGCGTGGGCTTCAGTACTTGTGGCTCACGGGCTTTAGAGCATAGGCTCAATAGTTGTGGCGCACGGGCTTAGTTGCTCCGCAGCATGTGGGATCTTCCCGGACCAGGGCTCGAACCCGTGTCCCCTGCACTGGCAGGTGCCACTGCGCTATCAAGGAAGTCCCCCCTTGTCTACTCTTATAATCTGATGTGTCACTACTCATATTTTAGGATTAGCTTTCCCTGAATCTCTAGATTAAGGTAGATTCCCTTATTATAAATTCTCATTGCATTCTACTTATGCCCTTCATTGGATCTATTATATTTGCTATTCCATTAATATCTGTTTAAATTCATCTATTCTGCTGCACTGTAGCAACCACTAGAAAAAGAGCTAGAGCCATTTTACTCTCCTGTGTATTAACATTGACTAGAACACAGCTGGCAAATCCTCAATAAATACCTGTAGAATGAATTAACACTTTGGGAGACGGTTGCAGATTAAGAATGGTCCCTCACTCAAGAACAATGCCACTGTGCCCTTCATCCCTGCCATCTTTGGTAATTGGCCCAAAAGCAAGGCTCTGTAATCCACTATTCCCTTATGTGCTATCCTTTCTATACTATGCTATACTCTTCCTCACCTCTGATTCTTCTTTCCATAGCTGTCCTACTTCTCAGTGCTCTACAAAACTCCTGATTTTATTTCAACCATCCTTTTTATATCCCCAACCTAGTTACAGGATGTTCCTTCACCTTTCTAGTCTTACCAGAAACCTGAATCCCCCATGGGAATTTGTTTTCCCCTAAGTCCTCTTAAGGCTGCTTATTTTCTCACTCCAAATACCACAGAGTCCAGGTTCTCCCATATCCTTTTGTGCATTGTTACTTTTCCATACTCAGGCTGAATCACTTACCACTTTGATATCCATCTATACCACTCTTTATCCCAAATTATTGATGTCATCTACAGACATCCTAGCTACTCTCCCTCATTCACTGAGCTCTTTGACTTTTAGTCCAAGTCTTCTTTTTATTTAACTTCTGCCTCCTTTATGTATAATTTTAAGGCTCACATATAAAATTAATCCGCAAAGCCACTGGCAATCTTGGGGACCATTTCAACACAAACAATCTTTATTTACCCTCTAGTCCAATGAATCATCTCTGTACACATGTATGCAAATGACTCCTAGGCACCTCCACTTGGATATCCGTATGTTCATTCAACAAATGTTCATTTAGTTTTAGGTGCTGGGGATGCAGTGATAAACAAAATATGTAAGGTCCCTGCCCTGAAGAAGCTTACTCTAGTAGAGAAATCAACAACCAACAAGAAAATAAAGACTTGCTTCTCTTCTCAGTGAAATAATAATTGGGGCAAGAGACATCTCACCAGTGAAGTTGCCTGCATTCTAGGTAGTGTCATAGGTAAGTCATGGCTTGCTAAGTGTGACACCTCCAGAAAGTTTTCATCATCCAGGAGTAAACTGAGTTGCTCATGTACTAGCAGTTTGTAATTAGTGCCCTTGTGTCTCAGATGTCCTTTTTCTTTCTTTGTCTGGATGCTGTCAGTAATTCTGAGTATCTGGCTTAAAAAAAAAAAAATGCATGAGAACTAATAACAGCTTTTGAAAATATATTACTACATTATACATTAATATATTACATGTTAATACATTCCAGTAATTTATAAATACAAGATGATTTTGTTTGGTTGATTGTGCTTTTTTACATTTTTATTTCAATGTTGAAGAGAGATGAAGAAGCCCCTGCTTGTATATCCAGGATTATTTTTGTTTCTTTATACTTTATGGCTCTAGAGTACCCCAACTACTTGTAATTACCCTATGTAGTGCATAATATTTGTTTCACACCTCCAAATCGTTGTGCATCTTGTTTCCTTTGATTGGAAGACCGTTTTCACCCATTCTAAGCCTAAGTAATTCCTACTGTTTTGTCAAGACTCAGCTCAGCACCATTCTCTCCAGAAATACTAGGAATCCCTCTTATGTGCACTCATAAACATTTTCACATTGTATTAAAATTATGTGTTTCATCTACAAGACTGCATGCATTTATTCACTCACTCAAAAAATTTTATATCTATTACTAGACAGATGTTCATTCACCAAATATGTACTGAATGCCTACTAGGAAACATGTACTTTCTTCTTGGCGTTCAAGATACAATAGTGAATGAGACAGTAAATTGCCTGCCATCATGAAAGTGGCATTGTTGTGTAACGTTTTGGATAATGATTAAGAGTGGGGGTAAGAGGGCTTCCCTGGTGGCGCAGTGGTTGAGAGTCCGCCTGCCAATGCAGGGGACACGGGTTTGTGCCCCGGTCCGGGAAGATCCCACGTGCCGCAGAGCGGCTGGGGCCGTGAGCCATGGCCACTGAGCCTGCGCGTCCGGAGCCTGTACTCCGCAACGGGAGAGGCCACAACAGTGAGAGGCCCGCCTACCGCAAAAAAAAAAAAAAAAAAAAAAGAGTGGGGTAAGAGCAAGTCAATGACTGGGAGTGGGTGGGATCTATTAGGTAGGGTGGTCAGAAAAGTCCCCTTCGAGAAGATGGTATTTCAGAAGAGATATCAATTAAGGCAAAAGAAATGCCAGGGAAAGAATCTCACTAGCAGAGAAAAGAGCAATTTTCTAGTTTCAAAGGCAGGAAGGAATTGCTCTATTGTAGGGCAGCAAGGAGAATGTTGTAGGTGGATGGGAGTGAATAAGGCAGGAAATGGTAAAGATGAGGTTGTGTAGTCAGTAGCCAGATTGCATCACACCTCATAGGAGTTTGGATTTTATTCTGTGAGATGGAGAGTCACTGGGGGTTTTGACAAGGATAGTAATTTGATCTAATTGTTCTTAAATATTATTCTGGTGGCTGTGCAGAGAATAGATCAAAGGGGAGCAAACAGGAAAGCTGAGTGGCCAGACATGATACCCAGTACTAGGGATGCAACGATGGGCAAGAAAGAGACTTAACAGAGAGCCACACAGGAGAGTGATAAGGAATATAGACTCCAGCAAGTCTCCGTGAGTTTGAACCCTGGCTCCTCCATCTTATGCTCTGTGACCTTGGGCAATTTGTTTTTCAGCTTTTGCTGTATTTCCAGTCTTCATTATGCTGTACTTTAAAAAAAATTAATTTTATTTATTTTTGACTGTGTTGGGTCTCCGTTGCTGTTCAGAGGCTTTCTCTAGTTGCGGCGAGTGGGGCCCACTCTTCATTGCAGTGCACAGGCTTCTCACTGATGTGGCTTCTCTTGTTGAGGAGCACGGGCTCCAGGCAGCGGTCTCAGTATCTGTGGCGCAAGGGCTTAGTTGCTCTGTGGCATGTGGGATCTTCCCGGACCAGGGCTCAAACCTGTGTCCCCTGTCTTGGCAGGCGGATTCTTAACCACTGCACCACCAGGGAAGTCCCTATTATGTTGTACTTTTCAGACCAATACCTTCAGTCTCAAGTTGAATAAAGTATGTTGATAATGACCGTCCTTGTCTTGCTCCTCATCTTAATGGGAATGTTTTCAGCATTTCACTATCAAGAATTATATTTGTGGGGCTTCCCTTGTGGCGCAGTGGTTAAGAATCCATCTGCCAATGCAGGGGACACGGGTTTGAGCCCTGGTCCGGGAAGATCCCACATGCCGCGGAGCAACAAAGCCCGTGTGCCACAACTACTGAGCCTGCGCTCTACAGCCCGCGAGCACAGCTACTGAGCCCGCGTGCCACAACTACTGAAGCCTCCGCGCCTAGAGCCTGTGCTCCGCAACAAGAGAAGCCACCGCAATGAGAAGCCCGCGCACCGCAACGAAGATTAGCCCCCGCACCGCAACGAAGAGTAGCCCCCGCTCGCTGCAACTAGAGAAAGCCCGCGCACAGCAACGAAGACCCAACACAGCCATAAATAAATAAATAAATTTATTTTTTAAAAAAGAATTATATTTGTGGGTTTTTTTTTTTTCTTTTTTTGAGGATGTCTATTATCAGGTTATGAAAGTTTCCTTTCATTCCTAGTTTGGGAAAAATTTCTTGGGCAATTTAATGTCTCTGTGCTTCAGTTTCTTTGTATATAAAAATAGGGATAATGATAAAATAATAAGTACTTATCTCCGAGCATTGCTGTAAAGATTAAATAAGTTAATACATGTTTAGTGCTTACACCCAGAACTTGGCACAAAATAAATTCAGTACAAATGTTAGCTATAAGCATTACAGACTGTGAGGAGGTTAGATATACCAGACGGCACTGGAACTGATCATTTATAAAAGCAACAGTGAGTGTTAGTACAAGGTGCTGGGGAAAGCTCATAGGAAGAGTTCCTACCTAGTCCTCGGTAGTCAGCACAGTGGTTGGGCACATAGTAGGTGCACAAATAAATACTTATTGTGGTCAAATTTTATGGCCTTTCATTTTCAGATAGATCTTTTGGGTATCAATTTTAATTCCATAAAGTACTATTACTGGTATACAAGAGTCATTAATCTCTGTGTTTATTTGCTACAGTAGAATTCATCTCCACTTTTAAGTATTTTTAATTAGTATTTCCTCTTAGGATCTTATTATTCATTTAAGCCTAGTTATTCTCCTATGAAAAAAGCTACTCCTTGATAACAAATAGATACTGAGGAAGATACAATAGCTCTACAGGTTACAAAGTTAGAATCTGCACCAATGGTTTCCTAAACGTTCCCCCACCTTTAGCCTGAAAGCACCCTTGCCTTCCCTAATTTATTAGCAATGAGTCGTTACAGCACAAAAGTAGCGTCCAGATTATGTATGGAAATAAAATGAACGAAAGAAAATGGCCTTGTAAGAAAATGTAGTGAATGACTCTGTGTAATTACTAAAATACCACCATAGGAGGGCCCAGTGTCTTTCCTTGAGTGTGGTGTGTTCTTTGGAAGAAAGACCTCTAAGCCTCCTGACTCCCAAGGACAAGCACATAAAGGAGATGAATCACTTTCCAGTTTTCATCAGTGAATCACGGTTGAGATCACCACTACTTAATTTGAGCTTTTCAAATGTATGAGTCACCACACAAGTCTCTGCATTCTAAATTAGAATGAGAACAGATTTCGTGATGTTCGGTCAAGTAGCTCTTAAGGGGTCTTTCTTCCTGGAACCAGGGCAGTTTGCCTGGACTGGAGGAATGGGGATAGTACATCATATGTATTCCAAACAGCCAGTTCAGGCCTACATACGCTATCCCAGCAGCTCTCTGGTAACTGGCTCAATAGAAGTCAGGGGATAAAGAAAACTCTGTCAACGGTATAAATAGTACATGTAAGAGCTCTGCTAAAACCACAGGATCCAGAGACAATTTCAGGCATGGGAATCCCACCAACCAAATTCAGGTATTTCCTTCTTTTATTAAAGATGTTAGCACTTAACTCACACTTGCCTCCTCTAATCCAAGGCATGCTGTCATCCACCCCAGGAGTCCCATAATCACATGGATGACCCCCTGGATTCCTCAGTCTGTGACTTCTTTGACCTTCTGAGCGCTAATGACCTTCACCTCACATCTCCCTCCCCCATCTCTCATGTCACATCACTCACTCCCACGTCCATCCTGGATTGCTACCTATGCTCCTATTCCATCTCTTAAGGCTTAAATTCAAACTCTCCACTCACTGCAGACTTCCTTCCATCTCTCTCATTCAATTACTGCCACAGTATTATTTCTTCAACTTCATCATGACTTCCAGGTACCCTCTGATTCCTCTCAATAGCATCCCCTCTTGTCTTCACCACTTCTTCAATAATATAGTTACTACAACAGTAGTAATTACAACAACAAGTAAGTAATAGTACAGTAACAAGTAAGTAATAGGGAAGTAAGGTGTAAAGGGCCTTAGTCAAGCCTTCCATTCTGAGCCCTCTCTAGGTCTCGAACTGAACACATATACACTGCTCATCATTACAATGTAACTGCACACAAGAGATGCACAGCCGTCACTCTAAAACCTAGGACAATGTAGCAGGATGGCACTATGGCTTAGTAAGGGATTATACCTGGAACCTATGTTGTTTAGATACAGGTAACGGGACTTGCCAAAGGAAGTTTTTTCAGCCTTATAAAGTAATTATACTGGAGTTTGGGTGTGACATATTATGGAATATAAGAGGCTTGGTAAGCTCCCCCTCAGGGCTTCCTGCAACCTGGCAGGATCTCATCCTAGACAGGTGAAACATCATCACCACCAAAGTAGGCAGTTCTGTGAAGAACTAGGGAAACCAGATGTTACACTTACTTCACATATATTCGGTGAGATAATCTGGGCATCCTTTGCTTAAAATGTTTCCTTTGCTCTTATAACATCCATACATTTATGTATTAGAGTTTGCCAAACCTCCAGCCTGAATACCTTATACAGATGTTATCCCCATTTTACAGATAAATAGCCTAGATTTTATCATTGCAACCACTCTCTTGCCGACAGTTTCAATCCCTTTCCCAACAGTAATTTCATTGCACCTACTTGTCCAAACCTCTATCTAGACCAGATTTTTCTCCTGACTTGTAGAACAATATTAGCAACTTCCTACTTAACATTTCCCCTTGGTATCCCACATATATCTCA